CGTGGGTCGTCCGACTGGCAGCGCAGGCAGTTGGGGGCCATCACCATGGCGAGGTTGTTGACGTCCATCTTGGTGATGGCCACGTTGCCCGGCTGCACAAACACCTGGCGAGGGAGAAGAAGGGAAGAGGTGTGGGTTACTCTGTAGGGCACAACACACAGCTGATAAAACTCGATATATTACGAAAAGCCTTGTTCTCTTTAACTGGACAAATGGGTGCACCGTAGAGCAACGGAATCAGAATAGAGCTGGAAGGGACCTTGGAGATCCTCTAGTCCAGCCCCCTGCTCAAGCAGGAGATTCTATACCATTTCAGACAAGTGGCCGTCCAGTCTCTTCTTTAAAGCCTCCAGTGATGGAGCACCCACAACTTCTGGTGGCAAGCTGTTCCACTGGTTAATTGTCCTCACTGTTAACGAAGTTTCTCCTTAATTCCAGGTTGCTTCTCTCCTTGATTAGTTTCCATCCGTTGTTTCTGGTCCAGCCTTCAGGTGCTTTGGAAAAGAGGTGGACCCCCTTTTCTTTGTGGCAGCCCCTCAAAACAGTTTTTGAACCAAGTTACTCCCAAATGGATACAGAATGCATCCAAAATCCAGGTATCCTATGAATTCCTGTGTAACTGAAATTTGGCAGCACTTTATGACATTAACATGATCATAAAACAGTTTATGACATAAGATAAAATGCCATAAGGCATTTCCTGTGTTGATGTTTGACTGTGCTATACAGTTCAAGGTGAGATGTTTTCAAGGCAAATACATTTCTGAACATATCCCAACTTTTCCAGGGAAGGAAAAGACTTTAGAAACTCTGTCGATATTCTGCCTTAGTTATGAAGCAACCTGGAACTAAGGAGAAACTTCGTTAACAGTGAGGACAATCAACCAGTGGAACAGCTGGCCACCAGAAATCGTGGGCGCTCCATCACTGGAGATCTTTAAGAAGAGGCTAGACAATCATCTGTCTGAGATGGTATAGGTTCTCCTGCTTGAGCAGGGGGCTGGACTAGAAGACCTCCAAGGCCCCTTCCCACTATATTATTCTGTTATTTTCCATCGTCATCGTCATCAAAAGCCCTGGTGGTTAGAATGGTCAGAATGCATTACTGCAGGCTAACTCTGCTGACTGCCGGGTGCCGGCAGTTCGATTCTCACCAACTCAAGGTTGACTCAGCCTTCCGAAGTGGGGAAAAATGAGGACCCAGATTGTTGGGGAGGCAAAGGACTGACTCTGTAAACCACTTAGAGGGGGCTGCAACTATTGCTTGGGAAGGAAGGAAGGAAGGAAGGAAGGAAGNTATTTAGGGTGATTTTAAAAATAATTTTAAATAGAGACACAGCTTCTAATATTCGGTTTTTTAATCTGGTTTTACAGGGGTTTGTATTTTTATGCTTTGTATTTGTACTGTTTTTAATACGCTGTGCACCGCCCTGAGTCCTGCGGGAGAAGGGCGGTATATAAATTAAATTAATAATAATAATAATAATAATAATCTTGACAAAGTTCAAGGTTGACTCAGCCTTCCGTCCTTCCGAGGTCGGTAAAATGAGGACCCAGATTGTTGGGGGACAATAGGCTGACACTGTAAACCGCTTAGAGAGGGGCTGTCAAGCATTGTAAAGCGGTATATAAGTCTAAGTGCTGTTGGTATCATCAATGGCATAAAGCCTTTTGTTTGAGCAGGGGACTGGACTAGAGGACCTCCAAGGTCCCTTCCAACGTATTATTCCCCGCTTTACATCCCGTCTTTTTCAAGGCATCTTTCATACTCCTCGGAGGACTCCGCATGCTCCAGCCTCACGCGACTGTGTAGGTGGAGAAAGCCGGACCAACCCCATCCCTCTGGGCATGACGAGTTTACAGGAGGCACGTTTTGGATCACGCTTAGCTTCCAGGTGTGCGTTCTCAGCCCAGGTGTGGTCAAGGGGACACGTCCCCACCCTCCGTACGCTGGACTCTGGGCGCTGCCTTACCTGGAGGAAGCGGATGAGGTAGCAAAGCACCATCTTGTTGATCCTCGGCAGGGAGTGGATGACGGCGATGGCAGCTTCAGGATTCTCGTAGTGGGTGATGCACTGTTCGTAAAAATCGTGGGGGATCAGGGGCTCCTCGAGTTCGCGATACCAGAGCTTCAGCAAGGAGGCTGCACGGAGAAAAGTCAGGAGTCAGGAAGGTCCCAGAAGATCCAACATGAAACTTTCCTTCTGGGTCTAATGGGAAAAAGACTTCGGGGGGAGGGGGGGAAATAATTTGAAACTCTGATTTTATATATCCCAAGTGTGGCCTTATTAAGGCATTGTAAAGTGGAAGTGTTAATACCACTTTACAATGCCTTGGTAAGGCCACACTTGGAATACGGCATCCAGTTTTGGTCACCACAATGTAAAAAAGATGTTGAGACTCTAGGAAGAGTGCAGAGAAGAGCAACAAAGATGATTAGGGGACTGGAGGCTAAAACATATAAGGAACGGTTGCTGGAATTGGGTACATGATACCCATGTTGGGTACATGATACCCAGTTGCTGGAATTGGGTACATGGGGGACATGATAGCAGTGTGCCAGTATCTCAGGGGCTGCCCCAAAGAAGAGGGAGTCAAGCTATTCTCCAAAGCCCCTGAAGGCAGGACAAGAAGCAACGGATGGAAACTGATCAAGGAGAGAAGCAACCTGGAACTAAGGAGAAACTTCCTGACAGTGAGAACAATTAACCAGTGGAACAACCTGCCTCCAGAAGTGGTGAATGCTCCAACACTGGAAGTTTTTAAGAAGAAACTGGACAGCCATTTGTCCGAATGGTATACGGTTACCTGCCTGAGCAGGGGGCTGGACTAGAAGACCTCCAAGGTCCCTTCCAGCTGTATTGTATTGTATTATTGTATTGCATTGCATTGCATTCTATTCTATTCTATTCTATTCCTTTCTGCTTGAGTAGGGGTTGGGCTGGAAGACCTCCCAGGTGTCTTCCAGCTCTATCCATTCCATTCCATTCCATATTTTCTATTCTATTCTATTCTATTCTATTCTATTCCATATTTTCTATTCTATTTATTCCATATTCTATACCGTATTCTATACCGTCCTGTCTGGGACAGTATAGGTTCTCCTGCTTGAGCAGAGGGCTGGACTAGAAGACCTCCAAGATCCAATTCTATTCTATTCTATTCTATTCTATTCTATTCTATTCTATTCTATTCTATTCTATTCTATTCTATTCTATTCTATTCCATTCCATTCCATATTTTCTATTCTATTCTATTCTATTCTATTCTATTCTATTCTATTCTATTCTATTCTATTCTATCCTATTCTATTCTTATTATTCTATTCTATGGAAATTTTGGACTCAATTCTGGTCGATAAGTCGAGCAATTACCTGCGTCGGGAAAAAAAATACATATTAACCAATATTTCCCGCCCGTATTACCTGCAGGGTGTATATTCAATCGGTTTATGAATTAAATAAGAGAGCCGTGCCTTTTCATGTATCTTTTAGCTACCCAGTTTATAAGCCAAAAAAGGGGGGGAATCGTTCCCCTTATTCAAGGGATCCAAACCCCCCCCAAAATGGCTTCTCCATCCTTGCCCAGGGCCAGATCCTGCTGGAGGAGGAGAAAGACCAGGAGGTCCTACGGAGAGGTCCTTCCACGGCAGTTGCCCTCACCGGGAACGTGGGGGTCTTCCAAGCCGGTGGGGATTTTCCACTGATCCACCTGCAGTTTGAGGGCGTTGACTTCGTCGATGTCTCCAGGGACTCTGCGGAAGAGAAGAAAGGAATTCCTCAGAGAAATGAAGACACTGCAGAGAAGAGCAACAGAGATGATCAGGGGACTGGAGGCTAAAACATACAAGGAACGGTGGCTGGAATTGGGTGTCTAGTTTAACGAAGAGAAGGACGAGGGGGGACATGATAGCAGTCTTCCAGTATCTCAGGGGCTGCCCCAAAGAAGAGGGAGTCAAGCTATTCTCCAAAGCGCCTGAAGGCAGGACAAGAAGCAATGGATGTAAACTCATCAAGGAGAGAAGCAACCTAGAACTAAGGAGAACTTCCTGACAGTTAGAACAATTAACCAGTGGAACAACCTGCCTCCAGAAGCGGTGAATGCTCCAACTCTGGAAGTTTTTAAGAAGAGACTGGACAGCCATTTGTCCGAAATGGTGTAGGGTTTCCTGCCTGAGCAGAGAGTTGGACTAGATGACATCAAAGGTCTCTTCCAACTTTACTATAATAATAATAGTAATAATAATAATAATAATAATAATAATAATAATAATAATAATAATAGTAATAGTAATAGTAATAGTAATAGTAATAGTAATAGTAATAATAGTAATAATACTCTGGAGTACGGAATTAGGATTGAGAAAAAAAGAGGTGGAAGAAATGAAAAAGAGACAGAAAGGGCTGAATTACCTGAAGATGCCCTCGGTCTGGTCTCCGTTGAGCGCCAGGACCTCTTCCGACAGCCTGGTCTGCACCCACGGGAGCTGGCTGTCCGGGTACCTCTCCTTCTGCATGTTCATGATTTCTTGCAGGGAGCTTCCAAACATGGATGGGTTGAAGACGGCGTTCTTGGCATGGCGGATCTCCTCGATGTTCGGCTTCTTCAGGCCCTGAAGGAAGGAGCACATGGGGGACAAGGGCAGCATGAATTGGATGTCACCAAGCTCAGGTGGGACGGATCTCCCAGGATCTGGGGGCGCGGTCACTAGCAACGCCGACACCAACACCGTTCCCCACCCACCCACCCAAGGAACTGATGAACTAGATCAAGGCTTTTCAACCAGTGGTACGGGTACCACCTGTGGTACATTGGCACCTGGCAGGTGGTACGCGAGCATCCTAGAAAAGGGGTAGCAGGGGAGGGGAATGAGCTGAACCGGTGGCAGCACCGCACAAGTCTGAGCGAGAGATGTCCGGAGCTACAGGGCTGTCAGGGCTCAGCGGAAGCGCCAGGATCAGCACTTCTTCGGGGCTGTCAGGGCTCAGCGGAAGCGCCAGGATCAGTGCCAGGCTCCAGCTGGAGCTTGGCGCTGATCCTGGCGCTTCTGCTGAGCCCAGAAGAAGCGCCGATCAGCTGGAATGTTGCAGCCTCTCCAGGGTCTTGTGATTTACATTCAGATGTTTGGCAACTGATTCATATTTATGACGGTCACAGTGTCCCAGGGTCGTGTGAAGCGACCAAAACCTGCTGCAACCACCCAGCAGACGGGGGGAATAAAAACCAAACCCCCCCCACCCCACCCCCACTGCCAATCCTCAACAGAAATGCTCACAACGATGAAAACCTCGGACAGGAGGAAGAGCGCCACGGGGTGAGCAGGCAGATGTCTTGCTCGGCTGTGGCTCGGGGGGCACTTTTTTCAGTGCCATTGTAACTTCGAACAGTCACTAAGCGAACTGTTGTAAGTCGAGGACTACCTGTACTTTATCACTTTTTTCCTTTTTTTTTTGGTCATCCAGTTTTTGACACCTTGCTAGGCGACTGGTGGTACTCGGATGTTGCCCTATCCTAAAAGTGGCACAGTGGGTGAAAAGGTTGAAAAGACCTGAACTAGATCTCCACGGGGGGAGGACCGGCAATGGAAAGAGGGATCGGGATGTGTTCAGAAGAAGCGTGCATTTATGTGTGGATTGAGGCCGGCCGCTAGTCGCTCCAGGACAAAGTTGCTTTCCTGCCTTTTTCCAGCTCTGAAGGAACCATCTTTTAAGTGTAGTAGGTCAGAACCGTATGAAAAGAAGAGCCATAAATGTTCTGAGTTCTAGTTGGGTTGGGTTCAGTGGAACAGCTGGCCACCAGAAGTTGTGAATGCTCCAACTCTGGAAGCTTTTAAGAAGAGACTGGACAGCCATTTGTCTGAAATGGTCTAGGGCAGGGGTAGGCAACCTTGGCTCTTTTATGACTCGTGGACTTCAACTCCCAGAATTCCTCAGCCAGCCTCCATTTTGTTAGATTTAAGACAGGGCTCTTCCAACTTGGCCCTTTTATGACTCATGGACTTCAACTACCAGAATTCCTCAGCCAGCCTCCATTTTGTTTGTTAGATTTAAGACAGGGCTCTTCAAACTTGGCTCTTTTATGACTCGTGGACTTCAACTCCCAGAATTCCTCAACCAGCCTCCATTTTGTTTGTTAGATTTAAGACAGGGCTCTTCCAACTTGGCCCTTTTATGACTCGTGGACTTCAACTCCCAGAATTCCTCAGCCAGCCTCCATTTTGTTTGTTAGATTTAAGACAGGGCTCTTCCAACTTGGCCCTTTGATGACTTGTGGACTTCAACTCCCAGAATTCCTGGGAGGAATTCTGGGAGTTGAAGTCCACAAGTCATAAAAGGTTCCCATTAATTGTGGACTGTCTTCTATCTGCCTGACCTGAGAGCAGAGAGGCAAGGAATGCTATGGGTCCCCTCTCCTAAGGAGATCCATTCATTGGGATCCAGAAGAAGGGCCTTCTCCGTGGTGGGTCCCTCACTGTGCCACAACATTCCTGCAGAGATCAACTTGGCCCCCACCTTGACCCTCTTTCCCAAAGTTCCTGAAGGTCCTGGTTCCCCCAACGGGCCTGGGGAACCCAGAGTGGGAGGGAGCCCATCAAGTGGTTCCTTTTGATTAATTGCTTTCGTCAGGGTGGTGAGGAGTGATTGCTATTTATCACTTTATATTAGATTTTTTTTTATCTTTGTAAGCCACTTAGCTCAACATTAAGAAACCCAAGATCATGGCATCCGGCCCTCTCAATTCCTGGCAAATAGATGGGGAAGAAATGGAGGTAGGGACAGATTTTATCTTCCTGGGCTCCAAGATCACCTCAGATGGGGACTGCAGCCAAGAAATTAAAAGACGCTTGCTCCTGGGGAGGAAAACTATGGCAAATCTAGACAGCATACTAAAAGCAGAGGCATCACCCTGCCAACAAAAGTACGTGTAGTCAAGGCCATGGTTTTCCCAGTTGCAATGTATGGCTGTGGAAGCTGGACCATAAGAAAGGCTGAGCGCCAAAGAATGGAGGCCTTTGAACTCTGGTGCTGGAGAAGACTCCTGCGAGTCCCCTGGACTGCAAGGCGATCCAACCGGTCGGTCCTGGAGGAGATCAACCCCGACTGCTCTTGAGAAGGCCAGATCCTGAAGTGGAGACTCAAGGACTTTGGCTACCTCATGAGAAGGAAGGACTCCCTGGAGAAGAGCCTGATGCTGGGAAAGATGGAGGGCAAGAGAAGAAGGGGACGACAGAGAAGGAGGTGGCTGGATGGAGTCCCTGAAGCAGCAGGCGTGAGCTTCAATGGAATTTAATTTAAATTTAAATTTATATGGAATTAAAAAGAATGGAGGCCTTTGAACTCTGGTGCTGGAGAAGACTCCTGCGAGTCCGCTGGACTGCAAGGCGATCCAATCGGTCAGTCCTGGAGGAGATCAACCCTGACTGCTCTTTAGAAGGCCAGATCCTGAAGTTGAAACTCAAGTACTTTGGCCACCTAAGGAGAAGGAAGGACTCCCTGGAGAAGAGCCCAATGCTGGGAAAGATGGAGGGCAAGAGAAGAAGGGGACGACAGAGAAGGAGGGGGCTGGATGGAGTCACTGAAGCAGTAGGCGTGAGCTTAAAGGGACTCTAGAAGATGGTAGAGGACAGGAAGGCCTGGAGGAACGTTGTCCATGGGGTCGCGATGGGTCGGACACGACTTCACAACTAACAACAACAAGCCACCTGGAGTCATAGAGAGTGAGTTGAGTGGCTATATAAATTTTCCTAAACAAGCAAACATCTTGACAAACCCATGAGGGCGTCTTCAGAAACCAGGATCCAGCCAGGATCCAGCCTCAAACCATAATGTTCCCAGCTAACTTTTAACCCTGTCTCATCTCTCTGGGGGGTGTGTGTGTGGAAGCAAGGAGCGGGCAAAAGCATTTTGCGCTGCAATCCAGATGTTGGCCACAGAGAGGCAGACTGACTACGCCCCAGGAGGCCGAAGGCGATGACCACAAGACTTAAGAAGTGGCTGAATGGGCTGCTGCCCCCCCCCCATGGGCAAAGGGCAAGAAGACCCATCTGCTGGGGAAACACCGAAGGATGTCACATTGTGCCTCAGTGTGACTTTGGTGGAGAACGGGCCGAGCGGGTCCATCGGCTGGGAGGCAGCCCATTAACCAGAGGCCACCTTCCTGGTCAGAAGGTCATCAGCTCAAATGAGTAGGAGATAAAAGGTGGTGGAGAAGACAGAAGGGAAGAGAGTTTCAGAAGAAGAAAGAGCATGTCAAACTTTGTGATGGATTGACAGGGTACAATTCCAAGAAGCCAGAACTTTCGGCGCTGGCTCTGCTCTCCCTCAAGTCCAGAGGTCCGCAACCTATGAGCCGTGGCCTCTTAGACACCGGGCCACGTGAGTAGCTGGTTAGTGTGCGCGCGCTCAACCCCCCCTTGTGCCAGCGGTAGCTGAGCCCCGAGCCTCGCGTCGGTGCTAGCCGAGGCGCGAGCTGCGCGCCGGCGTTAGTGGAGCCACGAGGTTGCAAACCACACACCGGCGCTAGCCGAGGCGCGAGCCTCTCGCCGTTGCGAACACGGCCGCGAGCCGGCATTAGCCGAGCCGTGAGCTGTGTAATGGTGCTGAGTTGCACGCCAGCGTTAACCACCCCATTTGTGGAGCGTGCATGCTCAGGGGCCCGTTTGCATGCACGAAGCCACCTTTGTGTGTGCGCGCACGAGCACATAAAGGTGCCTGCCCCTCCCATTGGGCCACCAGAAAAGTTGGCGTCCCCTGCTCTAGTCCTTGGTCCTCCTCTCTCTAGGACTATCATTGTGGTCACCTGCATTAAACCACCTTTCAAGCAGATCTTGGTGTGTGGGACTCCTTTGCTTGTATTAACTGGGTGAAGTCGTGAACGAAGATAAATATACGGGCCCAGGATGATGTTGCAGGATCCAGTCGTGGTTAGACACCCGGATCAGAAGTTTAGTTCTCCGAGCTGTCGGATGTGTGCTGAAGCCCATCTTCAGAAAAGGTCTCTGTATCTCCAGAAAATGTGCACTGGGGTGTTCTATTCATTGTGTTTATATGGTTGCTGGTTGTGTGTAGCTTTTGGTTGTTAATTAGGATGTTGACGGGCAGCTATTAGTTGGTAGTTGTCGTTTTCTTGTGCCACCGAGCCCCCAGCTGCTGAATACCTGGTAGGCTGGTGATAAATCAGCACTCCGATTGATTGACAAAGGTTCATTTCTGGTCATCAACACACTAATTGACAACTAAAAGCCACACACAACCAGACACCTGTAAATACAATGTAAATACAGATGGGCTAAAGCAGGGGTGGGGAACTATGGCTCCTTTAGGACCTTGGACTTCAACTCCCAGAATTCCTGAGCCAGCATGGCTGGCTCAGGAATTCTGGGAGCTGAAGTCCACCGGTCCATGCCGGCTCAGGAATTCTGGGAGTTGAAGGCCACAGGTCTGTGCCAGCTCAGGAATTCTGGGAGCTGAAGGCCACAGGTCCATGCTGGCTCAGGAATTCTGGGAGTTGAAGGCCACAGGTCTGTGCCAGCTCAGGAATTCTGGGAGTTGAAGGCCACAGGTCCATGCTGGCTCAGGAATTCTGGGAGTTGAAGGCCACAGGTCTGTGCCGGCTCAGGAATTCTGGGAGTCGAAGGCCACAGGTCCATGCTGGCTCAGGAATTCTGGGAGTTGAAGGCCACAGGTCCATGCTGGCTCAGGAATTCTGGGAGTTGGAGTCCATAGGTCCATGCCAGCTCAGGAATTCTGGGAGTTGAAGTCCACAGGTCCATGCTGACTCAGGAATTCTGGGAGTTGGAGTCCATAGGTCCATGCCAGCTCAGGAATTCTGGGAGTTGAAGTCCACAGGTCCATGCTGACTCAGGAATTCTGGGAGGTGAAGTCCACAGTCCATGCTGGATCTGGAATTCTGGGAGTTGAAGGCCACAGGTCCATCCTGGCTCAGGAATTCTGGGAGTTGAAGGCCACAGGTCCATGCCAGTGAGTTGACGGCCACAGGTCCTAAAGGGGCCGTACTTCCCCCACCCTTGGACTAAAGCATAAGCCCCAAAACCTTGGAAGAACGTCTGGTCCAGGTGACCGACTCAGATTGGATCCTGCAACTGGATAAACTGTCCAACGTCACGTCTTTGCTTCTCCACTCCAGATGTGGAAGGAAAACACCAGGCCAGGCCGCCCCCATCCAGGACCTGAAACCCATCTCAAGTTGAAGAGCACAAACGTGGACCCAACCACGGCGTGGAGAAAGCCACTGATCCCCTGCTCATACTGGCAGCCTCCTGACCCCCCACCCCCCCAAATAGGGTCCACCGCTCTAGTCTTTGGCCCTTAAGACTAGAAGCAGAGGGAGTGAGGTCTACCCAAAGGAGCAAGCTGGACCCAGGAGTCCTGTTCTCACGTTCCTCTCGTCACGCACACATGTTAAAATTGCATCCCTTTTTTATTATTATTAATGCAGGAAAGAGTAGCTTCTTCTAACTTTGTGATTACAGGGATATGCAGGTAAATCCTCGACTTTCAAGAGTTTGCTTAGTGACCGTTCAAAGTTACAACGGCACGTAAAAATGTGACTTATGGCTGTTTTTCACACTTAGGACCGAACCCTAGTTGGGTCATGAAACGTCTGCAAGAAAACCACCAAGGTCAGAGGGGACCAAGGACCCCACAGTCTTCCTCCTCCTCCTCCTCCTCCTCCTCCTCCTCCTCTTCCTCCTCTCCACAAATCTCCACTCCCATCTAGCACTGATGATGTTCCCTAGTTGGGTCGTGAAATGTCTCCAAGAAAACCACCCAGCTCAGGAAGCATCAAGGACCCCACAATCTGTCCTTCCTTCCTTCCTTCCTTCCTTC